TTATAAATATTCATCAGATATTTATGTGACTCAGTTTCGTTTGATTCAATTTTAGTATGAGTCATTTTTATTCATGATTATTTATAATTACAGTTTCAGTAAAGTTTATATTCAACTATATTTATCAATTGTAGTTAATTTTAAATATGACTAATATCAAATTAATTTCAATTATTTTGAAATTGAATGCAAGTTTGATATTTTAATAAGAATATTTAAATATTGAGAGCTGAGCTACGAATAAAGAATTTTAAAAACAGTTTTTAAAACTAAAAACTTTATAGAACAATTCGCGCAAAAAGCAAAATTATCACAGTAAATTACCGAATCAGTCCACAAAGCGAATACACTATAAACAAAATTGTTAAGATGAGATAAATGATGCATTATTTTCTATTATTTTAGTGCTTACATGAAAATATAAATGAATGAGTTCGGTACAAATATAAATGCTTTTGTAAAGTAGTATTTTCACTTTTAATTGAACCATATTTCCCCACAATTTCTAGTTTAATAACACGATTTTTCTGAAAATGCGTTCTTTTTTCTTTAGATGTTATCCATTTAATATAATTAAAATGTGGAGACCAATTCCCAGATGAAATAGAAATGTTAAGGTAACGCTATGGTAATGCTATGATACGGGTCCATACTCCTATCACAGTAAGTCAAAAACTATGTATTTGCTATGCGATCAGGAGTTTTACACATAACACCTAACTTCACGTATGTGTTATCAATAAGACAATAGAATGTTGCACTTATGATAAAATTGTTATTTGACATTTTTGTGTGTAATACGCCTGATCGGACAGTTTGTTGCTAACAACTCATCCGAAGAAGACCCGTAACATAGCATCACCATAACATTTTTATTAAATACTAAATTTAACCCTACGAATTCCTTAATGATTATAGACCCAGTAGCAATAGGCATGCCTTTGAATCAATACGTAACATAAAGTATAATTTTGGCGTTTAAGTTGTTTGATAAAATAGTTAATATAAAAATGCTATATGTGGTGTTAGGTAAGGGTAACAGATTTGTTTGTCATTAACATTAATTTAAATCTCTTAAGACTTTCATAAGCTTTTGAACTCTATGAATGTTTAGAAATTGATTTTCTACAATCATTCATAGAAATGAAATGTAATAAACATGTGCATCGTTCGTTTTCTAGGATATTGTTTATTTACTATGTCATGGATGTACGCATTCTCCGTTGCAAGTTTATATTACTTGATACGGTTTAATTTAATTGAATAAAATTAATGTCCAACATCAAAATTTATTACAATTACTTGTTTTTATAAGTAGGAATAAAAATCGTAAAGAGTAAGAATAAGTATCATAGTTAGGGGAGGCTGGGTACCCGTTGTGCCACTTTTTATTTTGATCAACAAAAATTTTGTTAATTTAACAGTTAGCTGAAAGAAAAGTAAATTAAATGGTAATTTTAACATTTGTCTGCGTGGGAATGGTGAAATTTTGTCCTTAAATACGGTGGACTAGTCATAAAATTAAGTCGTACAAAAAAGCACGAGTGTCACAATCGTCCTGGAGGTGTGAGGGTGATACATCATAACAATTTTGAATAATGTTTATTAGTGTCAACCATTATACACATTTATATATAATTTATAAAATATATATTTATAATAGCATTAAAAATATGTATAATATTTAAAAACAATAATGTAATTGAAATCATACTGCAAATATGACATGATCGGTTTGTCATTGTAATTAGCATTTAGAAGTGTACCTTCATTAGAGAAATGAAGTAATTGCTGATTAATAAATTATATAATACTCGTTCACACATTGGATTATGTTAAACAACGCCTAAAGAAATATTATTTTCACAAGCTCACTCATCATGTAATTGTGTTTGAAGAATTTCATATAATTAAAATGAACATATATTCATTGACTGCTCGTATTTTTTTTACTTTTTCGTTGGCGATATAATCTAATTCTTTGAACAGCTGTGATATCTGTCTGACCTAAAAACTTTAAAATGTTTATTTATCTATGCCGATTTTCTTGTTGATATCGGTACGCATACAACGTTGATACCGGTACGCATACAACGACAGATCTCTATTCTCAAACGCGACGACTAATCACAATCGACCCGTATAGAAATGATATCATCGAGAGCGGTTGACGAATCATTGGCACTCGACTCTGCTATAATTTGCATTTGTACGGATTTACACCCTAGTCGCGCCTGAAGAAGTTTTACTTCAATAAGAATAGTGAATTATAAATGATGTAGTAATAAAAAATAAGATAAAAATAAATGAATTGTTGAGAAGAAACAAAACACAAAGTTAACAAATCTTTGTGAAATCTTTTTTCTAGTACTGAATTTTCCTTTCGCTTTCTCTTCCGTATTTTGTCTTATTGTTAGTTAAGTAAAGATTCTTATATCTGCTTAATTTTCATTCGAACAGGACAAGACCCTCAACCATATGTCACAGAGTCCGTACGGACTTATCTATGGATCTCAACCATAGATAAGTCCGTACCCAACATACACTTTTGAAAACAAATCATCGTTATGACTGAGCTAAATTATCTACGCATAAACTAATTGCTAGTAATTAGCTACTAATTTTCAACTTACAGCAAAATAATGAACAAAGTGATCACTCTGTATACAAGTAACAGTTATTATAAGAAATCGAACAAAGAAACTTTTTTTAGACTCTTTAAGAGCAATGCATTCTACAGGTCATGTTAATTTGTTCAAACAAATACACTTCATCTTTCTCCCTTTGGACTTTATCTCAAAATCAGTATAGTTTAGCTGTTATGGCGTTTGTCACTACCATGTCCTGCCACAACCGTACCCAGTCTCCCCTACTATTAAGGTTTGTTAAATAAGTGATGAAACCTGAATAGTTTAATTGAAGTTTTTTTTGTAATTTTTAAAAAATACGTCGGTATGTCATGTATTTAGTATTATTTTCAATATGGATATTTTTTTACCAATTTAGCCCTCAATCGTTTTCTTCGTCTCATCTGAACGTTAGCGTGTCCAATGTTGCGGATTCGTTACGCCGCGCCAGGGTGGACACGGCACCGAGAACAGATTATTTTATTATGATATTATATTTTCACAATTCGCTGGATCGTTTATAAGACTAACAATGAGCGATTCTTACTTGTCGATAGTGGTTGTGAAAAGACATAATGTTACTTCTTGTATAACTAGGAATTGTTGATTAGATAAACGAAATTTAATGGTAATTACCGAGGTGTTCAGATACAGTTCAATTTTATGAATTAATTTTAATTTCTCAGCAGCTAAATAAAAATAGTCTTCACCCGACATTGCTGCATCAATAAACAATTCATCATTTTTAGTTGATGAAATTTAGAATAATAAAATTGATCACATAAAAATGGTACTACACTTGATATTGCCAACTAACATCGACGTTTTTAGATAAGTCAAAGCATTACAACAGCTTATGGGAACCTTAAGTACTGATCGCTGTTTAAATGTATATAAAAATACTTGTTAATTTTATGTTTTGTTACTTGCATGAGTGCATTAACTAATATTTTTTATCTGAAATATTAATGCAATTTTATTTTTGCCTTGCTGCTTATTTGACATCAAAATGGAATGGTGGATTTGCCCGCTTTAAATGATTCCAAACCACCGCGAAAGACGTTCTTATAGCTCTAAAGCGTTTTGATTTGCTATAAAGGCACTATTTGAAAAAAAAAAAAAAAACGAAATTTTTGAATGCGACTATCAGGCATTCTGGACTGTGAAATAAGAATAATGCCAAAATAAAAAACGTATACTGTATTTATAATCATTCCTTTCATATAAGATATCTTTTCTGTGCCAATCGAATATACTTCGTCAAAAAACATTTTATTCAGATATATCGGTAATTTTTTGTAGTTTTTTTATTTTTCCTAACATTAAGAAATTAACAACTTATTAAATGAAATTACGAAAGAACTTAAAGGTCGATAATGTCCAATTTGATACTTTTATTAATTTTATAATGTGTCTAATAAGATAGATTTATACATCTGAGACATCTGATATTTAGAAAATCAGACGTATAGGAAAAAGATTTTTTTTTCAAATCGTATCCTCTTTCTAGATGAATCTAAGTATCTAATATGTAAGATAATCTAACTCCAAATAATATTACAATGTAAAATTGTTTCTCTATGCAATCAAATCATATTCTCATTTATTCTAATATACACTTCAAAAATAAGTTTTTTTTAAACAAAAAAAGAAAAGTGAAACTTCTTAACTACTTTTTATTAATATTACTATGTAAAACGTTAAGTTTAGCGAAATAAATATTGTTCATAAAATAGTTCAATTTAAGTTACAATTCATTGTAATTATAACATAGATGTAGCATAATTATTTCCTATATATATTTTCATACATATAATATACGTATGTGTATGAATTAATACGAACCCATGCTTTTTTTCATTTGATATGCCACATAACCCTTTTTTACAACATTCGGCAACAGACCTTTGTTGTTTTCGATTACGAGAACTTCTTTCTGACATTTTAATTTCTTTGTTCTGTCAAAGTTATTAATTTATATATTTAATATTTAATTATCTTCACTTTTATTCTGTTTATTTTTTGTTCACACCTTTTTCGAGTCGTTCCCAAATACCGACATCATCATAAATAACCCAGAGTGCGAACGAACGTTTTTTACAAATATGGTTTTGATTGTATATAGTGAATTTATTAATGAATACGTCGAATTAAATTAAAACGAGTTCATTTATTACTTTGGATAATTAATATTGTTATTGCGGATTTAAATTTATTGTCGATATCAATGGGCTCTGATTCCAAGTAGCTTAATATATTGCTACAAAATTATCAGTTTTATTAGAGTAATATACTTACGTTAAATTACACATGTCTAATTGAACTTTTTTGTTTTAATTGTTGTATGATTTTTAAATTTATTCCTGCTTGCAGTTGCTGCTTACTGTTGTATAAATAACAAAGTGATCTAAGTGTTAGTGACAGTTCGTCTCAGCACAAATTTCAAGAAATTGCAAGAAGTCTTCAGGTATGTATAATTAATCGACTTGCTCAATAAAATTAAGAATTAGTTTTATAATTTAGTTCACCAAAATCGTACAATATTTTTTAAAACAAACAATTAATTACAAAAAAATGGCTTACTGATGTTTACCAAAAACTTGCTAGCACAATCCTTGATATTTTTCGAACGGTAATAAAATTTCAGGATTTTTGGCTAAAAATTTACTTTTCTTCAAATTCTAAAAAATCGGACATTTATGAGAACGTCGACGAATAGTTGCCAAATTTTGACTCAAACATACATACTTCTTCCAATTTTGGTCTCTGATCATTCAGAATGAATCGAGATGTCGAAAAAATATAAATCTAACAAATCGGATTTTCTGGCGAAAGCACGACTTCATCGATAGGTTAATAATTTATAAATATAAGAATTATGATTGTGCGTCAATATTGATAGTGTTTATCAAAAACACCCTTATTTCTTTAGAATTTTATTTTATAGTTAGATATATGATGTCTATATCCTTTACCGGATTATCACGATTTTACTATTTTTTTTATTTTCTATGACTACAAACACATGGAAGCATTACTATCCCTGAATAAAAAATGATTATCGTTATATTAATTATGTGTTATTCTCAGAGCCACGGTGTTTACAATGGGCTTGTATACAATCCAATTTTGGGTTTTACAACGCAATATATTAATTATGAAGGTTCGGATTTCTATAGTGTTCTTTTTTTATATTTGGTTTTTGAAGGTGTTCACGTAGTATATTCGTGTATACGTTTATGTATTTATTTTTATTTTGCTTAAAGATCTAGAATTCTTTCTAATAGAATTCGCAACCTTTAATTTTTTTGATTATAGTATTATAAGGTTAAAATGTCAAGATTATGATTTGATTTATGATGTTGATCTATGGATTTGGATCCTTAATTAAATTAAATTTAAACTTCAAATCGAAACATACACACCATTTTACATAAAAAAATACTTTGTTTTATTTGTTTAAATAATTATTATAATCTTTAGTTAGTATTAACAGAAGACGTTAACGGATAGTCCAATTTTGGCTCACATAAACACACATGCCAATGCACATACATCTTTCAGTTTTGTTTCAAATCATTCAGAATGAATTCAATAATCGAAAAAACATAAAATTATCAAATCGTTTCATTACTTTGCGAGGAGTTTGTTAACTCGACTTGCTAATTTAGTTTATGTTTTAAGGCATTCTGAATCGTTTGACGCAAAAATTGGAAAGACCTCTTGTTGGCGTTGAAACTTTGTATGATGAAAGAGTTTATATTCTTAACAATAAAAATCATTGTATTATAAAGTTTTTGAAGAGCCGGTACAAAAATTCTAACTTCTATCGTCACAAATTAAAATGTAGTCGAAGTGAATTCTTATTGAAAATCGATCACTTACATATGTTGGGATTTTTCTGCAACTTGTCTTGTCTTGAGGCGTAATGACATTTACTTGTTTAATTACTCTAAGTTGTTATTAATTGTTTAAAACATTACTGATTTGATTGGTCACAGCTGGAAGGGAAAATCGCAGAAATAGTTGTGCCATCTAACGAGTTATTAACGCAGTTTCAAATACAATCTTTATGTACTCGGGGCGCACTATTTTCGTTTTTCAGTATCTAATACAACAATAAATTTTAATTATAATTATTAAATTTTCAAAATATTAGATTAGTGATTATCCTATTAAATAGATGATCTATTTCACACCGTAGGTCGCGAACCAAACATTTCTAGTTCACTGATTGTGAAAGTAGATTGGAGTAGTTTAGTGTCCTTAAATGAGTGAAGATGATTCTCAATTAATTGATTGAATAATTTACCAATCTGGTAATAGGAAGCATACATGATAGATATTTTTTCCTCATAATTTCCAAAATTAGAACCCTAGAACTTTTTTTATTAGTGATCTGCATTAATTATCTACATAAATAATCTCTGTTAATATTCTACATTTTTTTAAGTACAATTAACTAATCTCGTATGAAAATTAAAAAAACGCAGTGTGACTTTTATGGGACAGGCCATAATATTTATTTTTCTCTGTTCAATCAACGTATCAGACAACAGTGATGTCAGGTTGTTCTAACAATATAGTGCCCATATTTTTTTGCAATTCTATTTTGCAATGCCAGTAAATAGTGTTCTACAGCATTAAAACTTCCTTTATTACTGGGTTACATTCGTTATCAACATAAATAGCTATCAATATTATGAATATTGCTCGTTTTTTTTCCTTGCTCAATTGCTCAATAAGAGATAAATTATTCGTACAAATTCAATCACTTGTTTGCTTCTCACTTTACAGCTTTATTATTTCTCATTTATGTTTTTATTACAAAGCGTTCTCTTCCTATATTTTCTCAACATTGTACCAGGTGCATATCTTTATATGATTTTCAATTGTGATAGTTCTCTATTTATATTGCCGCTTAATAAAAAAAAACAGTGTAAACCACAACTAATTGGATCCCGAAAATGATCGTAAATCAAAAGCATTATAAATAGAGCTTCAAATTTCTCATTAGTACATCGAGGTGTTATACCTGTATTTAGAGATTCATTTTGTGATGCCATAATAGGAAACCTGAACAGATTTTGGGCAGTTAGGGTCGGAACACATGGACGAAATTGTTTGCGAAATTCAGTACCTTAAAATAAAAATATAATATAAAATCAAGTTCTATTAGTCATGATTAGTGAATTAATAAATGATAAAAGACAGTACCCATTTCTGAATACAAATATTCATATTTATAATCTACAACTTGCGTTGTTTCAAGTTTCTAAAACTATAAGATTAATTTAATTTTATTAACAAAATGCAGTATTAAAATTATATATTTATACACAAAATTATTGTTTAATAAAATTTTATTTTTACGGTCAAATGATTTGAATGAACGATTAATTTGATATGACGATAAATACGATTTTATAAACAGATGAAAAAACACATCAATAAATCGTAATAAATACATATATAAAATTTTATAATAAAAGTTATTCAACAAATGTAGGCAATAATTAATTAAACTATGAGCTCTATAATATATACTCCAAGAAAAAATATAATCCGTTTAAATATATTCCAAAAAATTATATATGATAAATAAATCCGTTTGTCACACACACAAACTCACGAAAATGCCACACTTTACATTTTGAGTTACAACTAAAAAAAAAATTATCAATTCTAATGAAAATTTAGAGGTTTGATATAACTAGTTTGTAATAATTTGGCTTATTTGGACCTAAGTATTCCATTTAGTGGTTCTAAATACTTCAATCATACAAAATTACAGGTGCACAACTTACGAATTGAATCGGATTCGAGCATTTGGAATCAATTACTTTTTTTGTATGGATTTTTCTTTCATTCGTCAATTTTGTATCGAGTATTCTTGAATTGCTGTACTTTATTTACTCGATATAAAATGAAAATAAAATCAAAGTATAATTCGACTGTCTTTATAAATTAATGTAAATAATTACCGGTTGAACTTCGTAGGTTTACATCGATATTGATGTACGAAACGTTTATGTCGGCTATAAATCGATTTTTTTATTGCAATTATATATTATATCAATTAATTTTTTTCAATCATTTGCTCATCAGTAAATAAATCAGTAGTACTAGTAAATAATTTTATATATTAGTAATTAATCAATCTTTAATTATTAATTACAATGTTGGAAGTTAATGCTAATTCACACTTTTTTACATTTTACAAATTTTACATTGATTTTGATTTGCATCTCGAGTTTAATGTGGGTCCAATATGAGCTTAATTGAACGCTTGTTTATATTCGGGTTTTTTTTACCACAATCCAATTATAAAAAAAAAAAAATTCATTTTTTTTATTCATACTTAAGTAACCAAATATTATTTTTGGTGATACTTGTTGTTAATAAGTAGAATTATGATTCTTTTTGTATAAATTGTATACTGAATACAATTATCTCCTTGCAACGAGATAAATCCGTATGCAAAATGATATCAAGCAGGTTGCTATAATATTTTTTATTTGAAAGTACAAAAAAGTTTTATTGATTGCTTGGATACTACAGATGTAAATAATAATATAAATAGGCAGTAAAAAATGTCATAAAAGCATAAGTATACATTATATCAGGTTATCGTCTATAGAACTATAAAATATCATTTACAATTATCAAATTTATACTAATTTCCAATAGAAATTTATTTTGATTGAATTTTTTAAAGATGAGTAAAATAGACTCTGCAAAAGTTACATACAAGCTCAATAAATACAAACCAATAAAAAAGTAAAAAAATATCATTTTTTAAATTAATTTTACAAATTTAATAAATCAAGTAAAATTTTCGACCATCAGCGTTTTTTTAATCTGAAAGTCAGTATTTCATTTAAAGAACACAGGTAAAGGCATTATCGCAATAAGCTAATTAAAATCAATCAGATTTCCAAAACGAATCTCAACTTTTTAGCTGGTTACGAGGTGTTATGAGAAAAGGTGTAATCTTTGCTGAGATCTCCTTTATGTTCGTTTATTATTATTATACAGTCAGTTATGTGGAGGATTTTATGAATTAACGAGCTTTAATAATCGCCTTTTTCATCGATTCGCATCTCGAATTCAATTTTTAAATGTCAGAAATATTAATGCAGCGATTCCGCATCTGTTGTACTTTAATAGAATATAAATATGTAATTATGTTCTACTCAGAAAGAACGGATTTTATTACAATTAGTATGATTAATTTTGTTAAAAATATTTGTTTTAGTATCATAGCTTGATTAGGATGTCGCAAGTGGTTCAAAATGACACCTTATAAAAAATATTTTTCATGTTGATAAATATTATATATATGCATTTTATGGGAGTTTTTTATCATAATAAAATTTAATTAAGTGGTGTTTTATATTCGTCATCTTTTAAAAGTTTGATTTTTCGAACGTTTCAAAAAAAATCAATCAGTTATTATTTTCATTT